TTTGTGTGCTACAACGACTGAGAGATGTTGAATATGAAGATCATTTTCACAATAGTTTACTGAAGTTTAATTCTGAAGATTCTTTGAAGATCACATCTTGTAAAGTGTTTTTGAAGATCGTTTTTGTTCTACATTGTCTAAAGAGAAGATCACCGTGATTCGACATTCGAGGGGGAGAATGCTAGAAGATCTTTCTCAACAGTTGATCGTTTGAAGATTTCTTTTGAAGAAAACATTTTGTGCATATTGTTTCAAAGTTCAAACAAGACTCAACGTGCAGAATTTTCTTTCAAGTCTGAATACAAAGGGGGAGAATGTTAGGACTGAGAAATCAGTATTAATTGTATTCGTCTTGAAAGTTTATAAATAGTCTATTTGTAAAAAGTCAGCGTGTTTGACTTTTCTTATAGGTTTGACTTTGACCTTGTCTTTGTAGTTTGACCATATAAATATGGTTAAGTCTTTGTAATTAGTGTAAGAGAGGAGCTTAATTGTAATAATCCATTCATAATTGAGAAGTTGACCAGAGCTTATATGAGTTGACTTTTTCTCTCAATATTCATCAAGTGTTCTTGAATGATTATATGAATCTGCCATCATGATTATGAAGATATTGAAGAATTGATCAGATATTGTGGACACACAGATTGCATGTCCAGTCAAAGATATAGATTGAACTTTATTTTAATTAGAGGCAAATGACGGTGTAACCGCGGGAGAGGCAATGGTGACGTAACCGCGAAAAATAACAGATAAAATGCATATAAACATTGGGTGTTGAAATATAAGTTGTTTATATGAAAACGACCGACTCACTAGACCTCTTGGTCTAACGCTCAATTGTTAGACTAATCTGTGCAGGTCATCTATCATCTGAAGACAAAGGCAAGCGAAAAATTTAATGAATCGTTATTTAAGATGTTGGTAGCATATCAGACAAAGTTTTTGTAAATTCATATCAAATCACGTTTTGTACTGCAAACTATGTTTCAGATGTTAATTAAGTATTACATATAGTTATGTATGATTGTACTGGATCCTTTGTGTTGGTTTGTATTTCTGGGTTGTTACAGTTGGTAGCAGAGCCTTGGTTTAAGGGATCTGGGTATTTCTTAATACTTAGACTTAAACTAGAGGCATGGGAATTATGACAATAGTTTCACTAGGACTATGAACATGGGAATATGTTATAGCTGAACCTATTATGAAAATAAGTATGATAGAGTTAGATTACATGTGATTGATGTAATCATGAGTTATAAATAGACCTGAGGATAAATGTGTTATCACACTTTGATTATATGAATAATCATATATGTTTATTGTGACAGAAAGAGACGTTCAAGTAATTCGAACACTGAAAATGGCAGATAATCCTAACTGATTAGGAAGGACCTCTACTGGTTATGGAAGAAGTCGGGGAAGAGGAATTCTAAACCAAGAACAAGACCTGGAAAATAAGATGACTATAGAAACATGAAGTCGAAGCAGGGGTCGAGGAAGACGGAAAAATACTCAACAACAAAACTCGTATGGAACAGGAATTATCAGCACAAGAAAGTTCAATGTCCGGCTGTGGAAGAGGTAGAGCAAGGGGTGGACATAATGTTCCTGATCCTGGTTTTATTACTCAGGAAATGCTAGCTGCTAAATTGGGGAAATTTCAAGAAAGTTTGGTAAATTTGTTGGGACATTCGGCACAAAATAACCCATAAATAATAAGGGATCCTGACTATCAAGAAGAAGCCGGAGCTAATACACCAGCAACAGATACATCTGTGCCCCTTACTTCATCCTCAGTTCATAAGGGAGAAGATATTAAAATGTTTCTTGCTTGTAAACCTCATAAATTCTCTGGTGAACATGACCCTGTCAAAGCCATGTGTTGGCTTAAGGAAGTTGAACTAAGTCTGCAAATCAGTACAAGCGCAGAGGAAGATAAGGTTATGTTTGCCGTATCCCATCTGAGGTCAAGTGCTTTATACTGGTGGGAGATTTTGTCAAGTTTAGATCCAAATATTCTTAAAACCATGTTATGGGAGGAATTCGTGATAAAATTTAAGATGCAATATTGTCCTGAAGCAGCAGTACGAAAGTTAGAAGATGATTTCCTTCGTTTGGAACAAGGAAACATGTCAGTTCATTAGTATACGAAAGTCTTCATGGAACAATCTCGGTTTGCTGAAGCCTACATTATATCTTAAAATAGTAAAGTAAGAAAGTACATTTGGGGTTTGGAGTCCAATCTCCGAAAGTATGTAATATCCAGAAATCCAATGACATTTCAAGAAGCAGTTGATGCTTCCGAAATACTGGAACAGGATATCAATCGTCAACTACAAGAAGAGGTTGGGGATAAAAGAAAAGGAGAAACTATAATGACAGATTTTTGTAAACCAAGGTTCGTGGAAAATATGAATCGGCCAGTCCCAAGATTTACTGATAGGACGTGTACACGATGCCATAAAATACATCAAGGAAACTGTAATACCGAGTCGCGGGTATGCTTTAAATGTCAGGAACCGGAACATATAGCTTGAGACTGCCGAATGGTGCGAAGATGTTTTACCTGCAATTCCTCTCAGCATGTGAACGCCGATTGTGCACAAGCTAAGGGACGAGGGTCTGGATTTGCTGGAGGCCGATGATCTGGATACTCTGGGGGCCGAGGATCTGGTTATGTTCTAATTGGTCGTGGGTCAGCAGTTAATCGTAATACTCCAAGTGGTCATGGAGAAATGAGACATGGTGAGCCAATTGCTAAAGGACGAGTCTTTCAGATGACGAGAGGCGAAGCAGAAGAACACCCTGAAGTGGTGACATGTACATTCCTTGTTAATTAAGTATGTGCCAAAGTTTTATTTGACTCTAGTGCAAATCGTTCTTTTGTATCGCCGTCGTTTGTTAATTGCGCACATTTAGAATCTAAAGCATTGATGAGGATTTAATTGTGGAGACAGCAAATGATAGTGAAGTTTCGGTTAAGGAAATGATAGGTGAATGTTCTTTAAGTATAGAAGGGTGTGAGGTGCCTATACAATTATTTGTTTTGCCTTTAAGAGAGTTTTATATAATTATAGACATGGATTGGTTAGCTAAAAATCAAGTTAACATAATCTGTGACGAAAAGATAATCCATATAGACTTACCGGAAAAAGGAAAGGTTATAATTTATGGGGACTGACGAGATCGTTACTCCAACCTTATCTCGGTTTTAAAGGCTCGGAAGTATGTACATAAGGGATGTGCTAGTTTTCTTGTCTACGCCATTGACATAAAGAAAGAAAAGGAATAGATGGAGGATATCCTAGTTGTAAGAGAATTTCCAGAAGTATTTCCAGAAGTATTTCCAGAAGTATTTCCAGAAGACTTGATAAGTCTACCTCCGGATCAATCGATAGAATTTCGGATTGAATTACTTCCTGGAGCAGCACCAATTGCACGTGCACCATATAGATTAGCTCCTTTTGAATTAAAAGAGTTAATGTCACAATTGAAAGAATTGCTGGATAAAGGTTTTATCCGACGAAGTTCTTCTCCATGGGGTGCGCCAGTGCTATTTGTGAAGAAGAAGGATGGGTCAATGAGAATGTGCATTGATTACCGGGAGCTGAATAAATTAACAATAAAAAATAAGCATCATCTTCCAAGAATTGATGATTTGTTTGATCAATTGGTTGGGACTACTTATTTTTCGAAAATTGATTTACGATCCAGTTAGCATCAATTAAAGATTCGGAATGAAGATGTGTCGAAAACGACATTCCGTACACGTTACGGTCATTAGGAATTTCAGGTTATGCCATTTGGACTCACAAATGCACCTGTAGCCTTTATGGATATGATGAATATAGTATGTCCCCCTTATCTTGATAAATTTATGATTTCTTCATTGATGATATTTTGACATATTCTCGGTCGGAAGAAGAGCATGCTCATCATTTGAAATAACTCCTGGAATTGCTGAAACAAGAAAGATTGTATGCAAAGATGTCAAAGTGTGAATTTTGGCTGCGAGAGGTTCAGTTTTTGGGGCATGTTATTTCGAAAGAAGGCATTAAAGTGGATCCTCTTAAGATTGAAGCCATTGAAAAGTGGGAAGCACCAAAGACCCTAACTGAAATCAGAAGTTTTCTTGGATTGGCTGGGTATTATCGCAAGTTTATACAAGATTTCTCTCGTATAGCTACTCCATTAACGAAATTGACAAAGAAGAATGTAAAGTATGAGTGGGAAGAAGCACAAGCTCAGACCTTTCAGATGTTAAAGGATAAATTACGCAGTGCACCAATTCTATCATTGCCAGATGGAATGGAAAATTTTGTGGTATATAGTGACGCATCGAAGATGGGTTTGGGTTGTGTACTGATGTAACATGGAAAGGTGATTGCTTATGCTTCAAGGCAATTAAAAGATCATGAAAGACATATCCTACTCATGATATGGAATTAGCAACTATAGTGTTCGCTTTAAAGTTATGGAGGCACTACTTATATGTAACGAAATGTCAAATTTTCACAGATCATAAGAGCTTAGTACATCTGTTCCATCAGAAAGATCTGAATATGTGCCAGAGACGATGGTTGGAATTGGTTAGTGATTATAATTGTGAAATTTTGTATCATCCAAGAAAGACAAATGTAGTGGTTGATGCTTTAAGCCAACAAGGGAAAAGTGGGACTATCAAGGCTATAGCTTTACGAGTCGAGTTACTACCAAGTATCCAAAAAGAATTGCAAGAATTCCAACATGAAGCTATGAAGAAGGATAAAATTTGTTAGGAATGAAATTATATGTAAAATTGTATTCGTCTTGAAAGTTAAATATTGTCTATAATTATAGAAAAGTCATCGTGTTTGACTTTTCTTAGATAGGTTTGATTTTGACTTTGTCTAGAAGTTTGACCCTATAAATAGGGAATGTCTTTGTAAATTTAGAGGAAGAGAGCTTATTGTAAAATTCTATTACGTAAAGTGAAGTTTGACCAAAGCTTTGAATGTTGATTTTCTCTCTCAAATATCATCTCTTGTGTTCTTGAAGATATATCTTAGATCTGCTATGATTATGAAGTTTTATGAAGATTGATCATTGTTAGAGGACTCACAATTGGTATCAGAGCTGGATTGCACAAAATCAGTTGAAAGAAATCAGATTTTGAAGAAATTTTCAAAGATTATTTTCTGAATTTTTTTTTTGTTCTTCGTGTTCTTGTTTTTCTTTAAGTTTGATCCGAAATTTTTGGAAAATTATGTGTTTTCGTGTTAAAAACAGGATCATTTTGTGCGTAATCTTGTTGTGAATCTTTGTTTTACACAAAGATTTACATTTTGATCTTCTGATTTCAAGTTTTTGGTGAATTTTGTGTTTTAAATTTTTTTTATGTGTTCTTAATTTTTTTAAATCCAGTGTTTTTGATCTATTTTGTTAAAACTTTCTTTTGTTTTTTATGTTTTTGGGTCTAAATCTTAAAGCCCATCAGGATTAGGCAAGCCCAAGAGGAATATATCACTCAAATCAAGCAGACTGCTAAATCGATCAAATACCCAGCTTCATCTTCTTCGCTCAAGAGTCTCAATATTCAGTCTCTAAATCACAAGGTTCATCGATTTCAACCTTAATCACACGGTAAATCGCAGATGTCTTGATTGATTTAAGGTTTTCATCTCTCAAGGCTTGAGCAGATTCTTTTAAATCGGAGACTTCATCGCACAAGTGTCCGGATTCGATCAACTCTTGACCGGATAAGTGTTCGGATTCGTACAACTCTTGACCGGATAAGTGACCGGATAGGTAAATCGATTGGCTCTTTGATTGATTTGTGAGCGATTTAAGCGAGAGAGTTGAGCGATTTAGGACTTAACAGTTTGTGCACCTAGGTATCCGGTTTATTAAATCGTTAAATCCATCTCATCCGGATTCTTAATCGCTCACTGTTTCTTGACACTAGTTTTGCTAAATCGCATACAGTTTTATTGATTTCAAGGGTTATCCAAGTGTGTGATTTAAGAGGATTCATAAATCGTTCAAGTGAACTGCACTGTGTATACGAATCAACATTCATCCCTGGTTGATTCGAGGTATTGATTTAGCTGTATTGAGTCTTTCATCGGCCAAGGTGCAGGACTGCAGATTCACTAGTGGTTTGAAATTGTGTCATCGCATCTAAGTTCTGTGTTTGTTTTTGCTAGTGGTGTTGTTTCTTCTGATGCATCTGATTTCTCTTCTTGATGAGAACCAAATGATGATAAATATGATCTTGAAGAAATTGATGTGAATGAAAAGCTAAAAGCAAAGATAGAAGGTGCTGATGGTAAAAAGAAGACACGGGAAAGAACAACCAGCTGCAGGTGGATATGCCATATAATTAAGCTGTGATTTACAGACTTCCTAACATTACTAATTTGTAATTCATGAAGGTTTACAGAACCTGCTTGTGTTGATCTTTGCTGAGGAGTTTTCCAATTCTGCAATCTGTTTTTGCTGCTGCTGCTGCTAGTGTTGATCTTAGATGATAATGCAGCATTAGTCAGAAGAGAAGCTTTGTAGCCTTTTGTGTAAATCTGGTCAATGTGACAGTAGATGTCAGATACAAAGGAAATCCACAGCAGACTGTGTGCATGGCTAAAATGATGAGGTTCAAGTTGTTATTTTGATAAGCATCTGTTGAATCATTTGAAAGCCAACAAGAAAACAACAGCTCATTCATAATAGTCACTGTTCCTTTGATTTAGCAACTATATTCGTTTTAGTTTCATTTTATCATTGAGTTTGCTAAAACTCTCATGCCTGCATCATTGAATGAAACACATATGTGTGGATGATTGACAAGCTGTGATTGCCCAATTTTCAATTTTGGTTTGTAAAATTTCTTTGTATTAAATCTATCTTTTCTGCAGGTCTGTTCATTTCACAAGATTGAAAGCCTTTTTGCAGCAAACTGTTTGGAAGTTTGGTTTTGTCCAAGTTGGTAGAAGAGACAGGACTGCCAAGAACTGCATCAAGTTCAACAGTACTGATTTCCAAGATTTCTGCTTGCAAGTGCTATTTGATTTCCAAGAGTTCTGATTTTCAAAGAGCTGTCCTTGGTGAATGCAGCAGTAGCACAAGCTTTGGTTGTTAACAGAAGTGGGATTCTTGGTGCTATCTCATTTTGTTGTGAATTAGAACATCTTAGACACTTGTATATCTTATCTTGTAATTGGGTTTGTTGTGTTTCTGGATTTTGAGTTTTATTTTTGTTTAGATTGTAATATTTGGATCATTTCGTTTATCTGTTTTTATTTTTTTGTTTTTTTAACTGTTTGAGAAAGTTTTGAACTATTCTGCGTCGCATAAATTGTTCTAATCAGTCTTAAATGTCTTTGACTATTTTTAACAGTTTTTTAACTGTTTTCAACAGTTTTGACTGTTGTTATTGATTTTTGACAGTTTTTCATCGTTTTTCTAAGTTCTCATCAGTTTTTTTGTGTTTTTCTTTTTGAGCTTAATTGTTCCTGATTTCTTTTACCGATTTTACTGCATAGATCCTATAACTGATCAATCTATTTTTAAAATGGCAGTTTCATATGAGAGAGAGGACAAAAAGTTGAGAGAGAGGATTGTTGAGTTGGAAAAGAACATAGTGGATTATAAAGATAAATACATAAAAAAAGTTCTATGAGAATCACTCTAATCTGGAATTTATCAAAGATTTAAAGAAAGATCTTAAAGAAGAATGTGAAAGAATCGAGAAGGAATTTGAGTATAAAATTAAAAAACTCGAGAACACTCTCAGCTCTGTAAGAAAAGATTATGATGAGGATTTGAAGATTTGGAGTAAAGATAATAAAGATATTTTCAATAAACTCAAAGAGGTTAAAAGTGCACTTTCGATTGAGAAAAACACTCCAAGGAATAATACAGAGACAGAAGACTTAACTATCAATTTTCATAAGTTTGAGACTGATCTGATTAAGCTAATAAAGCTTTTGAACTTAGAGAAAGAAAAGGTTTTGAAAGTGGAGAAGGATTTGAATGTTGAAAGGAAAGTTCTAGAGAAAGAAAAGAAAAAGATTATAAAGATTGAGAAAAGATTTTGTACTGAACGTGAATCTTATGAAAATAAGATTAATTCTCTTGAGCTGAATGCTAAATTTTTTTTAAATCAAATTTCAGATTYTGAACAACTTATCATCTTGGAACGAGCCAAGGTTGATAAAGAAAAGAAAGAAGCTGAACAAAAGCAAAAAGCTTCAGATGAAGAGAAGAGAGTATTTGTTCTTGAAAAGAAAAACACTGTCAAGAAACATGCTGCAATTGCCAAAGAGCTTACAGAGAAAAAGAWAYGGCTTGACATTGCTTCAGAAAATGAGAAGGGAAGTTCAGACGAAGAGAGAAAGAAATTTGAGAAAGAACAGAGATTTTTTGAAAAGTCAAAGAAGGAATTAGAAGGTAAGTTTTTGGATACTGCAAAGAAATTGTCTGATCTAAAGACAGACCTTGAAACTGAATTGAACATGAGAACTGAACTGAAAAAGAAATATGATTTAGTTGTTGTTGAAAGAGACCAGCTTTTACAAAACGTCAAAGACTTTTCGTGTGCTAAAAGCCCAACTGGTTCTCAATCATAGTGTAAAACTAATTTTTATGATTGTTCCAAATCGAAAAGTTATTCAAGTAGTCCTAAATCTATTGTTTCTAAGAACTATTTTCGTTTTAATCAGTATTATCAAGGGTATGTCATTGGATCACCCAATTATTCTTAAAGGGTGCGTTTGGTACGTTGGACAGGGTGGGACAGGACAGGACAGAACACAATTGTCCTATGGCCGCCGCCGCTGCTTCTCCGATGGCCGCCACCGCTGCTTCTCCCGATGGCCGCCGCCGCTGCTTCTCCGATGGCCGCCGCCGCTGCTTCTCCGATGGCCGCCACCGCTGCTTCTCCCGATGGCCGCCGCCGCTGCTTCTCCGATGGCCGCCGCCGCTGCTTCTTACAGCAACTACATCATGAATTTGAAGGAACTCTTCAAATATCTTTCTTCTTATTTCATGCAAKTAAGGAATTATATTTTGATGGTGGTTTCGTACTCGATTTCGCCAACAACTTGATTAATTGAAGTACTTATTAGGGATTTTAATGAAGTATTATGATTTATTTCGAGAGTTTACATTGATTATGATTGTTGAATGTTGTTGTTGTTGAATTATTAGGGCTATAGTGGTTGTAGGACCAGTGTTACAAGAATGCATTTCGTAGTGAAAAAACACTAAACAGCTCACTGGGGGTAAATTGGTCATTTTAACCAGTTCTATCMTGTCCTGTCCTGTCTTACCAAACGCTGAACAGCTGTCCTGTCCTGTCCTGTCCCGTCCTGTCCTGTCCTGTCCAATCCTGTCTGCGCACCAAACGCACCCAAAAGGTTAAAAGCATTTGGGTCAATAAGTCTGAATCTGTTTTATCTCAGAACTATATTGTTACTAACAATCTTCCTTGCTTTGTGAGATCTACTTCTGATTTGATTCATCTTAGCAAGAGAAGAATCATGTGCTTCACATGCAAATCAACAGATTTTGTAAACAAGAAGACATCCAACAGATGGAGTACAGACAACAGAGATCAGAAGGACTGGAAAGGTAAGAACAGGTATGATTATAATAGTTGGTATGGATCATATTCTATTACTAATCATCCTGTTCAAAGTGCTAAAAAGAATACATCATATAGAAATAAATGGTTTGGAAATTACAACATACCCCAACCCGATACTAACAAAATAGGACCCAAGTTCGTTTGGGTACCAAAATCTACTTAATCTGGTTTTGCAGGTGTATCAATTTTGTGATGATCAGAATATCATTTCAGTGATACACCAATGCAGGGGGAGTTGTAATTTATTCCAAACGAGGCTTCTGAACATTTCAGTTCAGGACCCGTGCTTTACCGAGTGTGGTTTCTAAACACTCAGTTTAGAACTCGTACTTAAAATGTTTTCTTCAAATTTTTTAATTTTTTGAGCTTAACTGAATCATTTCTATAATCAACTTTCTAGGGGGAGTCTCTAGAAGTTTTTTAATAAAAGTTTTTTTTTGATAAATAAGTTGTTTCTGGAAAACGAGTATATTTTCTGAACAGGTATTTCCTGAGATTTTACTTGTGTAATTTCTTTTCGTACATAACTCCAATACCTGTTTCAGCTATTCTTCAAACTGTTATTATCACGTCTCTTGTACGAAAATCTTTTTCGGTGATAATACACTCGTTTGTATTCAAATATTGTTTTTCTGATATTTTTTTCTTTAACTGATATACATTTTTTTTATCAAAATCTGTAAACTCGTTCTTACAGATCTTCATTCATTTTTCTCACATATCGAATAATCGGATTGTTGTCGTATCATTCTTTCGTTAATTGTGCTTAAAGCCAAATTTTTTGATCAATTTTTTTATCTGATCATTGTACTTTAAAGAAATAATATTTTGATCAACCATTGTGATCAACTGAGCATACTATTTTAGGAGGGACTGAGTGCTTATCAGAAATACCTCTATGGAATATCAAAACCGACAGACTTACCCAAGAGGACAACCATATCTGAGTAAGCTTAAATACAAAAGGGTTTGTGTGCTGAGACTAAAATGAAAAAGAGAGAGGTAGTTGTTGTGAGCTAAAAGAATTGACGAGAGTTGTGTCAGGATTAAAAGAAAATGAGAATCCTGTTCTAAACTTCTAAAATCCGGGCATATCACATAATTTATTAGTTCTCGATTTTTTGGAGACTAATATTGAAAAAGGCAAAGCTCAGGCCAATTCTTCTCACAACCCCACCAGCTACTCATTTATCTCTTAACAGATAAGTGTTTCAATAACACTTGGGGCACGCAGCTCATCATCTATCAATTTCTCATTTGGAGAAAGTTGATATTGAATCAGAAGGATATATGTCCCCCCTTCAGGTCTTTTTGATCACATATTGAGTCTGATAAATTTGTGTAGTCCATACGATTTATCTTTTTGAGCCTAAACAGAAGCATATGTTGTTTTATCTTACTTCACTACACAGATTTAGCATTTTATACGTTATTTTGCCAAAACATTCATAGATATGCTTTTCTTAAGCTATCGATGATTGAATGGAAGACCTGGTGAGATGAGCCTAAAAAAGTCTCATATATACAGTACATCCGTTGTACTGAGTATATCTGTTATACTCACAGGCCAATCTTTTTTAAAAGATTGAAAACAATTTCATTCGTTGAAATTGGATGTTACCTTCCCATTCCCTTAATCTGAAAAGATTAAACAAGTAGATTTGCAAAKATCTACTTACATTTTCATGATTTGAAGGCTTACGTGGAAAATTTCATTCATTCTTGTGTATGATGGAATGATTCTCATTTCATCATAAGGGGGAGTGTGTAATAATGAATGAAATATTCATTTCCGAACATTTTAAAGGGATTTTGATGTAAAGATCAAGGGGGGGTAACTTCGAATTTGGCAAAAGACTCAAAAGAAGTGCGACTAGAGATGATTACAAAAGATTATTCATGTGCTACAATGACTGAGAGTTTTTGAATGAAAAGATCAATGTTTCAAAAGTTTACCAAAGAAAAGTTTGGGATTTGTTGTTTGAAGATTCTTTGAAGATCACATCTTGTACATTGTTTCAAATGATTATTGTTCTACATTGTCAAAAGAGAAGATCATTGCTGTTCTACATTCGAGGGGGAGAATGCTAGAAGATCTTTCTCAACAGTTGATTGCTTTAAGATTTCATGTTGAATAATTCTTTTGAAGAAGACATAATGTGCTTAAAGCTTCAAAGTTCAAACAGGACTCAAAGTGCAGAATTTCTTTCAAGTCTGAATACAAAGGGGGAGAATGTTAGGAATGAAATTCTATGTGAAATTGTATTCGTCTTGAAAGTTAAATTTTGTCTATAATTGTAGAAAAGTCATCGTGTTTGACTTTTCTTAGATAGGTTTGACTCTGACCTTGTTTAGTAGTTTGACCCTATAAATAGGATGGTGTCTTTGTAAATTTAGAGGGAGAACTTATTGTAAAATTCTATTACGTAAAGTGAAGTTTGACCAAAGCTTTGAATGTTGACTTTCTCTCTCAAATATCATCTCTTGTGTTCTTGAAGATATATCTTAGATCTACCATGATTGTGAAGTTTTATGAAGATTGATCATTGTTAGAGGACTCACAAAATTAAACAAGAAAGATTGGGTGGATTACTGTTTGAACTGGTAAAGGATGGCAGAGAAT